GGGGGGGGAGTGGCTGTGGAGGCCGGGCCGGAGGGAACTTACTTTTCAAGGATGACAAACCACTCGTCCCGCCAAAAAGTGACCGCGTGGCAGAGCTGCCGGAGCCACCCGGGGGTGGGACCAACATCACCAGATAGGTCCCACATGTATATATGGGAGTCTTCCGTAGCATTTTGAGAGGCAGGCCGCAACTAGTATTTGCTGCTGAAAAAATGCAAGGGGTAAGAAGTTGTGAGAAACACAGAGAAAGGAACAGAATGAAATCTGAGATAAAAATCTGGACAGGTGGAAAAAAGAGAGTCGAGCTCAAAAGAGCATCCTGCAGGCACCTACAACGTGCAGAACAATCCTGCGCAACTTGGAGCTGACTGGATGTCTCCTGAGGACGCCACCCGGGACCCTTCAGCCAGCAGTGCCAACTGCAGTTCTCGGCATGCCAGCGCAACGAGCCAGGAGGACACCAAAGCAGGGCTAGTGAGGTGGGTCCCTTCCCAAAATGCTAGTCCACCAAATCCACGGCCCACACGGACCTTCCGAAAGCACCGGATTCTGCACCCTCAACAGAGACGTGGGTGCAGAAATGCCCCTGGCACGCTTTGCTTGATACAGTGAGAGAGGGCAGGGTGTAAGTACCGGACTCCGCACGCCAGAACGGCCAAGGGTGTAAAAGCAGTGCTCCTCACCTGCCTGGTCCTCTTTCAGCGTGTTGGAGATGGTGGAGCCAGTCAAGGCCGCCAGGGTGGCAGAGGGGGAGGCTCTGTACCTAGAGAGCCTGCTCAGAAGCATCTCGTTGATGCTTTTGGCCGAGTCCCCCTCTTTTCTCATTAATATAATGCGCTCCTGGAGGGGATTGGCTACGCAGATGCCGTTTTCCATCTAGACCAATGAACCAAAAGAAGGCAGAAGTTTAACCATTTGGAGGCAGGGGGAGCATGTGCCTCAGATCTTGCCTACTCCCAAAACACAAGCCAAAGGGGGAAGCATTAAGTTCTTATCATGGCACAGGCTGCTCTCCATGCCACCAGCTGTGTCCAGCTTTCAGCATAATGCACCATGAAGGATGTCAGCTTTCGACATTTAAAAAAATCACATCACAAATGAAAAATTAAAATGGCATTTCAGACAGAGATGCAGATCAGAAGTAATGGCACAACTGAGCAGCAATCCTTAGCAGACAATTTTAATGTCTGCAATAATAATTCAAATAAACGTTTGTAAGAATGGGAAAGTGTGTTGACCGTAGAAGAGGCAGAGCCAGAGGACTCTCCCCAGGCAGCGTGTGCTGCAGTGTCTGGGCCACGATGGAGCCACAGTGGAGTAGACCTTCACGAACTTTGCGCATGCCACAGTTATTGCCATTATGATCAATGAGTTTTATATTGTTCACCATCACATTAAATTAGTCGTATTAGCTCAGACTGGTGTACAGATATGTAAAGAAGCAATTCAACAGAAATCACAGCAACAGAAGTAAAAGCTATTGATGGGGCCCTAAAACAAAGTAATAAGGCAATTGACCAAGAGAATCAATAGCCAATGTCTGGATAGCCAAAAGTGTTTCTGCCTAGCGGCTGACGGAGGTGAGCATCAGGGCAATCCTCTATGGGGAGGCCTCTGATTCACAGCTGGAGCAGCACTCCTGAACAAGCCCTGTCCATTGTTAATGTCCACTTCACCAAAGCTGAAAGAGGTACATGAAGCTAAGTTTTGTCAGATGCTCTTAAAGAACTAGCAGGTTGATGTGGGGACTGGAGCCGATTCAAGTACTGGGGTCGTAAACCATCCAGAGCTTTGAAGATAAAGTACCAACACTAAATTTAAATTGGACTGAGAAGCAAACAGGTGTGAGATGGGCACATCAAGCTGTGCCAGTCAAAATTCTGGCCTTAGTGTTAATGGGTAACTGAAATTTCTGAACCATCTTCAACATAAAATGTGTTGCAGTGACCCAGCTGAGAGGTTACCAGAATCTGAACCGCAAATTATACTGGTTCAGAACTGGCAACAGCTATAAGGGATGGGAGGGAAAATATTTTGCAATTTGACACTACTCCATTTTAAGCGGCCAAAGGTAGGCATATGTGACCAACGTGAGCCCAGTTCTTTCTCTGGGGAAAGACACTCACTGTAAGCTCAAAGACATCCATGAAGACGGAGTGTCCCTTTGGTGTTTTCTCATTCAAGCTTGCAGGAGACCAGATCCAGTAAAAATAGGTCCCATCTGAAGAAAGATGCACCGTAGTCATAGTGCTGCCCACAGGAAAGTGATCTGCTGGCATTGGGAGAAGCTGACATACCTGTGGCACAACACAGAAGCAAAGGGGCAGGGGAGGAAAGAAAGGGTTTACTCTCTTAATGCATGAACACTGATTCTGGAAGTCACAAACAGACTGAGTGGTTTTGCACAAGGCTAGCTAACCCATTGGTCTAATTCTTGCAAATTACAATTGATGTTTATGCTTTGTATGACTGATAATAGCAACACACCTTCCTATGTTGCTCTTGAAAAAAGGAAGGAAGGAAGGAAGGAAGGAAGGAAGGAAGGAAGGAAGGAAGGAAGGAGGAAGGGAGAGCAGAAGAAGCAGAGCCTGCTCCAATCACACGGCTTGCTGAAATCATTACAAAACAGAAATGATTGAGATTTGCTAACTTGCCACTTAAGCACACTAAGAAGTTAAGAATGTACCCAAATGCATCCCTCAATAACGGCAGAAGCACAGTTCTCCCCACCCCTGCACTATATCACCCCATACGTTTCATGTTTGTTCCTAGAAAACAAGAAGGGACTTGCTCTGCATGCAGAAAGTCCCAGGTTTGGTCCCTTGCATCATTTATTCAGTTATTTTTAAAATGTTGGTATCCCACCCTTTACCGTGTCTCAGGGCAGTGACACTGGGAAAGACTCCTGTTTGAAAACCTGGAATGTTACTGCTCAGATACTGAGCTACATGGACCAAGGGGGGCGACTCATTATACGGCAGCTGCCCATGTCCCCAGAGCCACTGCCGGCCGGAGCAGTCAGCACTGAACCAGGTGGGCCAATGCTTCGCCTGGGTACAGGGTGGTTCCATGCACTGGAACAACTGCGTCTCCATCTGAAATGTTGAAAATTCCTAACATGTAGACCCTCCGTTAGATGGAATTGTTACTCCTGGTCTGAGACATGATGTGAGGACAGCAACCGATACGCCACGTGCCCCATCCCTTGAGTGCTGATGCAGCAAGTCTTAGGAGTGGAGGCGTGAGTCACAGGCAGAGCCAGCATGCAAGATGTGGCTGAATGTCTCAGTGCAGGATTCCTATCCTTCAAAGACAGAGAGCTACTGAGTCACCCTTGAAATATGCAGGGCAGAGGAATTTATTAATCTGTTTGGAATACTAATTATGATCCCAGCTACACTCGGAGGCAAAGGCAATTTCTAGGCGAGACACAATCGAGCTTTTACTGCCGCAGAAAGAAGCTCTGCAGAAAAAGACAAAGCACACACGAGCCTCCTCATCTCGTTTTCCAAAACGACACGCGGTTTCCAGAGGACAATTATATTAAATATTTATCAGATTGGAACATAACATCACTGAAAAGAGATGGATCTTCTTCAAACTGTACAGCAGGGCTGGGCCATCTCTGGCTCACCAGAGATGTGAGATTTGCCCTGCAATTCCCATCATGGCCAGAAGTGAGCAGTGAGTGGAGTTACAGCCCAAACCACTTGCAGGACCACAAGCCGCCCATCCCTGAAATGAAGGGCATGAAAAGTACTGATGCTTTTCTTGCTTTTACTTTACCTGAAGGGTATTCTGGTCAATGACCTGGAAAAGGGAGTGAGGTTTGTTATCAAACGAGACGGGCCTGTGGAGAAGCTTGCCGTTGCCAAAAGCAACCCAGCCTGATTCCAGCTCTTCGTTTCGGCAATACACAAAGCCTCTGAAGAGAAAAGAAGGAGACGCAGCTCAGTTTATTACATTTAGGCAGGGCATCTCAGCCTCTCTGAACTGCTTTGTAAGCCAACCATCTTCAAAGCGCACAGAATGAAATATGGAGGATTAATGGGGGCACAGGAAACACTTAAGACGTTCCAAGCAGCAGTAAACTGAGCTTCCATCTGCTTTGGCAACCTTCAATCAAATACAGTTTGGTCTGTGCGATGCTGAAAATCGGGAACCCCAGCTGAAATGGCAGAAGTGCAGTTGGCTGCTTCAAAGAGCGTGATGGGACCAAACTCGACTGGTGAGGTGACCATGTTTTAAGCATGTTTGTGTCCCATTCACATGTAACATGGGGATGAGGCAGCATCTCGTTCTTAAAAGCAGTATGGAAGGAAAACTTTGTGGCATGTTAGGATGGTTCACAGCTGCTTCAAATTAGGGGCAGAAAGGCGGGATACTATCTCTATTTAAATAAATAAATTTATTGAGAAAGCACCTCTTCCTGTTGCCCCCTAAGAACCGATGATCAAGGAGAAGCGTAAGTGTGGAAATACAGATCTTTCTGGATTTTTTTTCCAAAACAGATGGAAAGGATAAAGATTTGTATCACTATCTTCCCCACAGATTTGTGGTGGTTACACTTGAATTGAAACTAGCTCAGAACCTGATATTCCAAGAAACCAGAAATGGAGAGCCCCAAAATTGAAAACACATGAACAGTGTGACTTAGCACGGGCTGCAAATTGTCATTCTGCTGTGTCTGTGACCTTGCGAGCCTAAGTCTAAGTACTCTGCAGAGCTCATCAGAAGAGACATACAATTTTTAAGCACATGTTTTCAGGATGGACCACGAACCCTGAAGAGAACTCAGGCTGCCCTGGAGCACAAACTCGACTGATTCACAAGTTTGTTCCAGTCCTCTGGTCTCAGAGAGACTCCAATTATTTTAGACATAACTCTCAAAATCATTTGCTACCCTATATTTAAAAGCCAGTTACCACAACTGACATATAAATGAACGGGGCATTTGATGGAGTGTGGCTTACCGTAAGGTTCCGTGCAGCCCAGAGCCTAATTTGCTTATTCCCCTGCCGACAGAGTTTGTTGTATAAAGATAGAGCCCGTCGGCTGCAAGGCAGCGTCCCACGTCAGCATCTGTAAGAGGAAGCAGGAGTTCGGAGAGCTTCTCCAAAGCCATAGCGGTTGCGGAAAGGGCACAGCACCTCTCCCTCTGCAGCATCATTCACAGACATGGAAGCCACTCCAATACTCTGGCCAGAAGCTGCCTGGACGATGCGCAGGACTTCGGCCCGATGGCTGATTGCTGTTGGACCAACGTGGCCACAGGAGGCGCACGTACTTCTGTTCCTGCAAGCGGGCCAGTCCCCCCACTCCTCCATGGAGCCTCCTGAAGCCTGACGACAGCAGCAGGTAAAGATGGTCTGCTGCAGTGAATGCCCTCTCGTGCCCAAGGAATTGTATCTTTCATGGCAGTTAAGCCTTCCGGCCACCTCCACGAAGCCCCTGTGGAGACTTGGTCATGGTTTTTAATCTCTTTGGTAACACATGGCCTCGGAGATTTTAAAAGTGAGGCTACTTTAACAACAAAGAAAGAAATGCCATTTAAAATCACTCACCTTTATTTTCTGAGCTTGAGCCAGGGTTGGCATCAGGTGCTGGCAACATGTCCTCAAAACCCCAAGACACCAGGTGTTTGCCCCCAAGCAAACAAGAGGGCGATCCAGGTCCCCCTTCCAAAAGCAGCAACCTTTACAGAGCAGACAGCATGTAAAATATTGGGGGGGGGGGTGGAAATAAAATCTGCTTTGACAAAGAAGCAATTAGCGACAAAAGGGGCAATGGTGCAGCTTAAAATATTTGATGGAGGATGACCTCTCTACGAACAACAACATGTACTTGAGGATGACGGCCAGCGTCGCACGCAAAACTGAACTTGGCTCCTCTGACCATCCACTGTGAGTTATCTTGGCTAACATGGGATCGCTCAGCCGCATCAGCACTGTTGCGTGCACGCTCGCCGAGATCACCATTTGCTCTTTAGCCACACGCGGCGCGACTGTCATCAAAACCTTCCTTCCTACCTGTGTAATACATCAGCCACAGGCAGGGACCCCAAATCTGTTTGCTTCTGTAGGAGATGCACTGTGTGGACAAATGTTTTCAGTGATCCCCTAAGGAAAAAGACAAAACACAAGGCAGCAGTCACCGCTTGGAAACTCGCAAGGCACTACCTGAGAGCAGCAGGAACAATTAAGCAGTCAATGGGCAAACAAATTCTTAATAGTCCAAAGCCTCAAAGCATAAAGGAGTCTTCCTGAACAACAACTTACTTTGCAAACACGAGTCTGCATCAATGGCATTTCTATTCTCTGGGGTATTTCAATTTCTATCTCATTTTATGGAGCTTCAGGCAGCGCCTACTATCACCTGATAACTGTATTATATGCTAGAGATCTCTCTGCATGAACCTCGATTATCCAAAGCCCCTCGGCACAGTGACAATTTCCTGAAACTGGACATGGGGGCATTTGCCAGTGTTTCTGATGCCAGTATTCTTGGGAATGGATAGTGCCAATCCCAAAGAATGGGATCACAGATCTTGTCTATACCTGTTTCCTCTCTGTGACTGTTCCTTCACTATCCAGAGCTACTGTTCCAACTCACTAGGATGTGAAAGGAACTGTCAAAGTAGTATCGCTCGTGTGGCTAACGGGGCGGACTGAAAATCTAAGAAATAAATAATAAGTCCACAACATAATACATGTGTGCCACCGAGATCCTGAAGCTCGGTCCATCACTGGCACAAACTGGATACGCAACTCAAAAGCAACTACTTGGCGCAGACTGTACAAACATGGTTGTAAAAAAGCACACAGCTGAAGTGGAACTGAGCAGATTTGTGAGAGTGAAGATACGACGACTGTTTGATGCGATACTATTTTTATAGCCCTTCACCACACTGCTAACAAGCTGACGACAGACAGACAAAAACTTAAGGCAGGACCTATCCAAGATAACAAAGCTGCAGAGAACATAATTTGAAGAAGCTGGCTGGCCTTACATCTGAAGCAAATATCAAGAAGTGGCTTCCCATACATTCCAAGTGGCAGTACTCAAAGCTACTAGAATATGTGCATTGGTTCTGTAGCTTACTGTTCTTCAATAGGCTGCTGTTCCTGTTTAGTAAGTGCCCATCATATACGCATAAGGGAATGTAGTTAAAGTAGAATGGGAAGATGAAAAATATGGAAAAATCATCCTACTTTTCCCACACGTCAAAGGATTATTTTTTCTTAGACTAGTACTAAGATAAAGAACATAATTACCATCTAACTACCCCACTCCCACAAATGGTGAAAAGTCGGTCCACTTTTGCAGAATTGCTCATATCAATTGTAAGGTCGGTTTTAGATATACAGCCAGCCATCTTTGAACAAGCAGATTCCAATACAGTATCTAGAAAAAATGCCAGGATGTTTGGTATTGCTTTTTATATTTAAAAATCCATATCATATATAACAATGCATGTGCCATCATGTCAAGGAACCCATTTGCAATCACATTGCATTTTAAAAGAAACGTTTCACACAAACATTTTATTAGTCTACCTAATTTTCGTGCGTCCTTTTTAGTTCTGACAGTTCAAAACTGGGAATTATGAATATTTCACAATACTTTAAACTGGTTGGTAAACTCTGGGAGACGGTCATGAAGCTCATCTATCTACAGCTCTGGGCTGAAAAAAAAACCTCTTGTTTTAGTATCTAAAGGACAGTGATTGCGCTGCCCTTCAAGAAACAGAAATGAACATCGTATTTATGGCACAGGTGACTTTCCCATCACCAACCACCTCAGAAAATTATATTGGCACACCACGCACAGACATTGACCCGCTGAATGCAAAAAAGTCTTCCTCAGAGAAAAGCTAAGTGGCACAAAAATGGGCACCATCCACCTCGACTAGACCAGATGGATCAGGAAAATGGACAGGAAAGAGAGAGTGACAAACAGACAGACTTGGACAAAATGCTGTGAAACTCGAGCCCCCCAGAAGATGTTGTGTTATTTTCTCAAATATTCAAGCTTCATCTCATGAGCCACTCTTTAATAGCCCAACTCACATTACAGATAAGAATTTCTAATAACTAATGAACAAGATAACAAGGGCCCAAAGCAGGATACGAAATAGCTGCTTCAGCTTCAGAACAAAGTTCACAACAGGCGGCAGAGTTTGCCCGAGGCAATAACCCGGAAAGTGTAAAGCCCAGGTTGCTGCAAACGAGCGGCCTGCGGGTGAGCGAGTCCTCCTTGCTGCCGCTGCTGCTGCTGCGAGTGCTGGTCACTAATCAACCAAGGGTCCCTTTGGCTTGATCGCTGCCTCAGGAACTCTCCCCGGCTCAGATGTGCCTCAGCAATAAATAGTAAGGGAACCTTTGGTTAAAAGCTAATCCCAGGTCATCTGGCTCTCTGATCGGAATGACTGAGGCATCCAGGAGCAGGTACGAGCCTCAAGAGCTGCCTGCCACGGCCCGCCATGCCCTGCTCCAGGTCCACACGCTCGCTTCCATCCATGGCTGCTACAGTTTAAACAGAGGCAGGAGAAAAGGCAGCACTGGGTAGAAAAGCCAACTACCTGGGCCAGGGCACAAACTAACTCTGCAAGAGGACACCTGAGTATTGCCTGTTAAACACAAATATATAGAATAGCCGAACAATGAGCTCATCCTCAGCCTCGGCTCCCCCCTCCTCGCCTACCTTGCACAAGCCAAGGCAACAAGAGCGGCGGCAGCATTTTCTTTTTGCTTGTGTGGAATCTGTTGGCCTGAGGCAGATGTTTCCTCCAGCCACGAGCAGAGCAAGGACTCGATACCGTTAAGACAGTCCACTGGCTCCTTAGTCAAGCTCAAGGGCTGGCAGTCACGAAGGCAAGTCAAGAGCACCTCTGCAGTTATGTTACATAGAGATGGATCTGTTCTACTTTGGGACTCAATGAGGGGAAAGACCAGGAGCAGCCCCATCCGTGACGTAAACGGCGCTTGCTCGGGTTGCTGCAAGAGGCCCTGCCGCTTGAGCAAGGCCAGCGCTTCCTCATCCCCAGAGCTTTCTCGTTCATGCTGTTCTTCCAAGGCAAGCTGGCGCTGGGCGTTCCAGAGTCCACGCAGAGCATTCAAGCGGTATTCCAGAAGGCGGGCATAAGCGTTGCTCTGATTTCCGCAAACGGAACGTAAGCGCTCAGACAGCTCTGTGGGATCCTTAGTCTCAAATGTTAAGATCTGAAGAAAGAAAAGGAGAACACTGAGATTATGAAGTAATGCACCAAGCTGCCTTCAGCGGATCGTTTTTACTCTTCTGTCACAACCCATAGATAAGTAAAACAGTGCAATATAAGATAAAGGAGTTCGGACGAGACACAAACCAGGCCATCTGATTTCAGAACTCAAGAGCTGCAGAACAAACAGACGTTCTCAGGTAACAGAACGTCCTTCTTTGTACTGCATGTGCTCAGAGACGAGATGCGCAGCCGTTCAGTTTTGCCTTGCACGTCAACGTTCCTTTTGTCCCTCCTTCGGAGAGCTGGCCTCCTCTCTGATCGTGATAAGCCTTCCTCCTCCTGAGAACAAGTGACACCACTTCAAAGAAGAGAAAAAGCTCTATGGCAAAGTACGACAGAGGAGCACAGTCAGCGATTCTTTCCTCCCTTAATTAGCAGGTATCTCCTTTTTCAGAAATTAAGCCATGGCTAAGCAGCCTTGCTGGAACAGCTCAGTCACACAGGCCCTCACCGCAAAGAGCAGAGATGCTGCAGAACATCCATCCCGAGGCCCGCTCCGCTAAGCCCCCAGACCCCGTCGCTCTGGCCTCTTCTCAAAAAGACCAGCGAGCCTCATTTCCTTCGGCTGACCAGCCACGACCCATGCGCCAATGCTGGCACTTAGTTCCTACCCGAGGGAAAGCATACGGGAGCCACTCGCCTTCTGACCCCACCAGAGTCATCGCTGTGTCTCAACTGCTAAACAGTTAAAAGCAAGGGCGGCACAAGAGAATTTTTCCAATATCGATGCCCCATCCCCCGTGCTTTCTGATCTCACACGCATAACGGCACTTTTATTAAGGATTTATTAGCAACTTGCACTGCACAAAGGCATCATTAGAGTCAAACCACCAGCTGGTTGGATCAAGTAGTTGGGATAATGTTACAGTTCTCCTTATCCTCAGTATCCAGTATTTCTGAATTTACAATATTGTCTTTGCTAAGAGCAGCTCTTCATGTTTTGTAGATGAAGTTACATGATATCCAATGCCAAGGTGTTTCTACTCCTGAACAATTCTGGTGGTATTTTGGACTCTTTTTAAATCATTTCCAAGGCAAAATTCAAAATACAGCAAATAGGATTATACAGAATGGATTTCAAGGATAATTAACCAAAGAAGCATCAGCTGTTAGAGGCCAGGCAACTGGCAGAAGTATTGATCTAGCCATGCCCAGAACACTCTGTTGCTTTTCAATTAGGGTTTTCAGCATTGTTCACTTGTAGTGGCTCCTCACAGCCAAGGGATTTTTTTCTGGGATGAGTGGCAGTACTGGCCACTTTTCTGCCCCAAAGTTTTGCCCCTGTGAAACCATTCAGTTGCATGAGGGAGCAGGTGGACTGGAACACTTCTTGTCCAGCCACAACCAGGGCCATCTGTCACCTCCAGACAGCCATTACTGCCTTCTGCAGTCCTCATGCTGGCTGCTTTCTGACATCTGAGCACAGGTATGGAAGGGCCCAGGAAATAAGGAAGGCAACATGCCTGAGGCAGAAATTCCAATTATGTCTACAGAAATCTTCTCTACTGCGTTCAAATGTATCATTTGCAAACATATATATTCTCCTCCCCCGGGTGAAAAACAACTATGCTGCACAAATAATCATTTGCTTTCCTATTGTTTATTCCATCATTTACCTTCGTGAAAAAAGCAGGGGTTACTTCTATGCTGGGGATTGTTAGGAAAGGAATTAAAAATAAAGCAGTCAGTATCATAATGCCTTTATTCATAATTGCAGAATGACCATGCTAGGAATACTGTATAAAGTTCTGCTCACCACATCAGAAAAACGGTATCATAGGGTAGGAGGAGGCACACCAAATGAGCAAGGAGCGCGGGCAACTTCTCCAGAAGGAAAGATGAGCACATTTGCGGCTTTAAAGCAACTGAAGAGGAAGGCAATCACAAATTACGAATGACATGCAATGCAGAAAGTAGACAGAGATGTTTTCATAATACTAGAAGCTAGAAGAGACAAGAGGAATCACTTCTTTGTGGAGTATCGATGGATATCGCTTCCACAAGACGTAGTGTGGTGACCAACTGGATGGCTTTCATAGGGGATTACACAGCTCCTTCGAGGATGAGGAGGGCAATGGCTACTAGCCATGGAAGCTGAATGCTGCATCAGTAACAGAGGCGGCTTACCTTCCAGCACAAACTGCTGTGGAACATAAACAGGAGAGTGGCATTTCCACAGGCACCCGAGTGACCAGTGTGGGGACAATGGACTAGCCAGACCTTCGCTCTGATGCAGGAGGGCTCCTGTGTTCCTAAATGTAGAACCGCTTCTTCAATGGAAAGATGTTCCAGAGCAGCTGGGATCCAAAGCACAGCCCTGGCCTTTGATTTGCGTAAGGCTTTTTGCACGCCTGAAATGGCACCTTGGCAGTGAGACAAAGTTACGCAGAGGCTGCAGCCTCAAAGACAGACCTCTTCCGAGCTGCCTGGGGCACACATGCTAATATCTACCTGCCCATGAAATGGCACCACGGATCCTGCATTGCCCTGCAATCACCTGATGAGGTCAGCTTGCGATGAGGCTGTCTCATAACAATGGCATTTCAGCCAAAGACCAAATCTGTGCTAGATCCAGCTACACCTGCTAGCTCTGCATGCACATCTATTTCAGGAGCAACGATCAGTCCGACACATTCTGGGAAAATGGCTGATCCTAAAGAAAAACTTTTCTGTAACATTTCCCCAGTGGTCAGGATGAAAGCAAAGCAATGGCTAAACTATTTTCCCATGTGGCCTGAGGAAGCAGAGAGAAAAAGAGCACTATATGTAAATGTATGTTTGGGGTAGCTGTCAAGACATGGCTGCACTTCAGAAAATTAGAGTACTTCAGTCTTTGCAGGAGACATAGCTGCAAAATTACTGTATTTCTATTTCAGTCGGCATTTTAATTACAGGCCGTGGGTAAACACCTTTACATTCTGGTTCAAAAGGTGTTCTAAGCAAGCACCAATTTTGCCCGCTCCAGAGGGAACAAAGCGGCCTTTGCGACCACTCTGCTATCACTGGGCCTGAGCAAAACGATTCCCCGGTGACAACAGCACAGCCCAATTAGTGGCATACATTGTGTGTAGCTTATGAAATGCTTTAGTCCAAAAGAGAAAAAGGAACGCTTCACTGACCCACTTTGCCATAGAAGAAAGGGGAGAGTGGGTAAGCGAGCGAGGCGCTTTGCAGGAATGGGATGGCAAAGTTATTTCTCTGCCCAGCTTAAATGTCCGAACCAAATTCACAAAGGTTTCTGCGTGCTTGTCCCTGTGCCTGTTACATCTTGCGCCTGGTACCACCACCACATTTTCAGTTTGGGAGCCTGGAGCTCAACCCTCCGTAACTGCCACCGACTCACTGAGAAGCCTCAGATCGGTCAATTTCTTTCACTGCTCTGTCCCTAAAACGTAGGACACAGAGATCCATCGACCAAAGCACCGTGAAACACTCTGCAGCCTCGTCAGCAGGATTTCCGCCACTGTCGGACACCATGCCGAACTCCGTCCTGCACCAGCGTGGCACAGCCACCGAGAGACCAGGCCGGCCATAAGCCCGTTTGGTCTCAGCGCCTTCCTGAATGATTTGTGCCACACCCTTGCGATCATAGCGGGGCTCTTCCAAAGCAGTTTACTTTGCCAAATACGTTGGCTTCCCCCTATGGATCTATTATTAGCCTCTTTATTTCAGACAGTACCAGGCAAAGCTAACAGAACCCCGATCGCTTCTCCCACGTACCTAGTGCTGCAGGTAGGGTGTTCGGGGGCCCTGGGATCACTAGGAAGTTCAGGACAAGGGACTATCGCTCCGTGGCGGAGTATATGCTTTGCATGCAGAAGTTCCCGGGTTCAGCGCTGGCATCGCAACCTCCCTCCAAAACCCGTGCCTGAAATTCCAGAGGTCCGATGCTGTTAGTCGGCGTTGACCATACTAAGCTAGGCGGACCAAGGGTCTGACTCGGTTTAAGGCAGGAGATTCTTGTCAAGGGCTCTTAAATGAGAAGATCAGTAATGAACGTGGTTTTCCTGCAGGGTTCACGCCTACTGACCATTGCCTATGGTAAGAATGAAGCTGATGTCCATGCGTGGCTCATGCAAGGCTCCATCACCCAGCTCACCCCCAGAACACTTGTCCTGATTCTGTGCAGCGCTCGCACATGGTCCCCTGGCAGAAAAATCACCGGCACAGAACGGTGCGGGCAATTCCCTTTCTCTGTCTTTCCTTCTACCGAAACCATGCTGATCTTTCCCGATAATCCCAAAGTATGGACATCCATTGCCCTGTGACACCTGTTGCCCGCTTGGTTTTTAATACAGAGCCAGTTTCTGGTTTCTGTCTCTGCAATGAGGACCACCCAGAATACATTTTTAAAGTGCCACAGTACAAAACATGGTGGAGCTCTCTATGGTAGCAAGTCATAAATCCAATATTATGAAGTCATCCTGGCAAACAATTCATTTGAAGCATTTACTAAGCAAATATATTCTTTTAAATATATATGTAAGATAATTTAAGACTGCTTACAATCTAACCTGGAAAGAAAGGGCAATGTACTAAGTGGTCTATTTTTAGCAAGGTGCTTAAGAAGCAAAAATCACAGGCCCCCAATAATGATAATGCACATCATTAGGTAGCTCAAAAAGCAAAGCAAAACAAAGCAAAGCAAACCCCTGGAGCATGTGAAAGGATACTCTCTGGTACAAGACATTCTTAATCAATCTCTGGCATCAAAGCCTCCCAAGTAGAAAATGTATTAATGTGAGGTAACAACTGTTCACAGAAGCAGAACTGGCCTTTCTCAAGAAATGTTTATCTAATTTCAGGAAGTTGTACCCAGATGTGTCCTGCCATCAGCAAAATGTACACAGCTGGTGATTCAAATGCCACCCTCAGACTTTCCCTGGTGCTCCCAAATCTGGTTCAGAGGGCTGCGGAAGCTTCTGGAATAGATGGGGATGT